ACCTTTCTTTCTTTCTTTCTTTCTTTCTTTCTTTCTTTCTTTCTTTCTTTCTTTCTTTCTTTCTTTCTTTCTTTCTTTCTTTCTTTCTTTCTTTCCTTCTTTCTTTCTTTCTTTCTTTCCATTTCCCACCCCTCTTTCGAAGCCTTTAGGAGCTCAGGGATGAAATCCCAGATATCTGGGTTTGTCAGTAGGCACTCGGATTTAGGGGCCACTTTACAACTATGGACCCTACCTGGAGGTGCTTCCTGAACACACAATGCAGCTCTCTGGTGGGTCCCAGGGATCCTTTCAAGGCAGGGGTGGAGGCTGAGAAAGAAACACAGCCTGAGCAGGTCCTCTATTTATTTATTATTACTCAGTGCAAACAACGAAAGTCTCAAACATGCCACACACGACTCCCAGTGAGGAGCTCCGTATACAACATAAAGCATGACAGACACAGCCCTGGGACTGGGACATGAGTATTTTCTCCTCTAGGGGGCGCTGTGTATGTCCAAGGCAGAATTCGAGGGGCTGGATGGGTTGGACAGGCAGGGACCAGGACACGGGCAGCTTCTCCTCTAGGGGGCTCTGTCTCTGACCCACTCCTACAGCAGGGTACTGCTGGGTTCAGGAGGGACGTGGGACGTGGGTTGGTTCCTTGCTCGAGGCGCTGGCTCCCTACATGACACGAGGTGCCTGGACACAGCCCAGATCACAGCAGGGCAGTGCATCCAGCGGCTGAGGGCTCAAGAGGCTACGGGAGGTGAGTCACTCCCGCTCCACACCAGAGGGATCTATCAGGGCACCGAGCTGCAGGGCGGCACTGTGGGAGGCAGGATGGCGATGGCAAAGAAAGGGGGCTGCACCCCTACACCACGCGCTGGATCACGTTCTTGTACTCGGGGCCACTCACACGCTTCAGCTGCACCACGGTGGCAAAAAGCCACTTCACCTGCAAAGGGAAAGGACAGAGAGGGCAGGCGTGAGAGGGGGGTTAGAGCTGGGGGTGGGGAACTTCTTTGTCTTTTTGTCGGTTGGTCAGTGTCATTCAGTCCCATGATGCACCCAACTGTGCTAACCTGGCCCCACCTGTCCCTGCTACATTCAGCCTCTCTCACCTTGAAGAGGGTCACTGTGGCGCTGTAGCACACGCTCAGGAGGAAGAGGGTGATGAAGACCGAGATGGTGCTCCAGAGGCTGTTGAGATCCTCATCGCCATCCTCGGTGCAAAACTCGCCAGACACGATCACCTCTGTGGGTGGAGAGAAAGAGACGTCACCTCCGAGTCAGCCCGTGCAAGAGAGAAAGCTCAGATGTTTCACTCAACAGCAGTCGGTGTCTCCCTCTCTCCACCCATGGTTCCATCCCTCCACACATCTGTCTCTGGGAACATTCATCTAACCCTGACCATAAGCCACCCATCCATCCCCACAAACCACCCATCCATCTCTTCTGAAATATCACCTTCTCTGCCTCCTTCCTTCCCTCTCTAGACATAGTCATGTATCCTCACCACTCCGTCCATCCATCCCCACAAACCATCCATCCATCCATCCTGAGACATAACACCTCTCTGCTTCCTTTCTTCCATCTCTAGACCCATCCGTCTATCTTCCCTACAGTCCATTCCTCCATCTATCTATCCCCACTTAACCCTCCATGTTTCGATGACCACAATCCATCCAACCTTGCTTCCATCTGTGCCTGTCCATCCAACCATGTTTAGATACATCCCTCCATCCATGGCCACAAACCACCCACTGATCCATTCATATGTGAATTCCAAGACACCTTCATCCATCCATGCCTGCGCCAATGAATTTCTAGTCCACCCAGCTGTCCATGATCACAAACTATCCATCCACCCCACAAACCATCCATCTTGACCTAAATCCCTCTCCCAATCCTTCATCCATTCATTCTGAACCACAAGCCAGATATCCACCTGTAATTCCAATCATGCTCACGAGCATCCTTCCCTATATACCTCTCTACAGTTTCACCTATAGATACATAGAATCAATTCTATGATTGATTCTATCTGTCCATGCATGAGGACAAATCATCCATTGACTCATCATTACATTCCTAGATACATCCATCCATCCACTCACTCCCCATTTCTCCATGACCATCAGCCATCTATCCATTTGCCAATTCTTTCCCAGATACCTTCATACTTCTGTTTACCTCTCTAGATACTTCCATACAGCATGATCACAAATCACCATCAAAGTAGCAGTCTATCCCTAGACACCTCCATGCCCCTAACCATCCTAAATTAACCCCTCCAAGCATCCACATCCTGATCTCTGGGTATATCCATCAAACACTGACCACAAAACATCCATCCATCCCTAGACACCCCCTCTCTCTGCCACCCCTTTCCATCTCTAGACATATCCATCCACTCCTGCTGATGCTTTCCTTCATCTGTGAAAAAAGAATATCCATCTCTCTTTCTCTAGATCCATCCCTCTATCCTTCAAACCATGACCACAAACTATGCACACGTCCATCCAAAATTAAACCTCCATTTATTGATGACAACAAACCATCCATCCATGTATCCATCCATCCACCTCTACATTCATAATCACAAAGCATCCATTCATCCATCCACCAATCAACTCTCTGACATCTCCACCCATCTATGCATCCATTCAGTCATCTCTAGATACAAGCATCTAGTCATGACCACAAACCATACATGCAATATGCAAAGAATCCATCCATCCATCTCCTCCTTCCCCCTCAATTTATCCATGACCACAAACCATTTACCCATCCATCATTCCATCTTTAGACACCATCATTCATCCATGGATGATGCTCTACCATTGCATCTCCAGATATATGTATCCATCGATGGCTGAAAACCATCCAACAGTCCATCCCTTGATACATTCATTGATCCTTCCAATCATCCATCCATCCTTCTGTTCATCCATCTGTGCCTCCAACACTCCTCTCTACACACGTCCATTCATATATTCATCCACAGAAGCACATTTCCATCTTTCTCTCTGTAGCTACACCCATCCATTCATTTATCCATCGATGCCTCCAGCCACATCCTTCCCTGCTTCCCACACAAACTTTCTGTTCCTCTGTTCATCCACCGCAGCCAACGGTGATGAAATGGAGGCAAAGCCTCTCAGTTCTCCTCTCACTCATCCCATGTGGTCATCTACCCAGGCAGTGGAATTTGAAAGATGTTGAATTTCAATGTGCTCTAGTTTATCTGCCTCCAAAAGCTGGCTTCGCATCCCTGAGAGGTTAAATCCATAGGAGTGAGGCAGGTGGTAGGAATCTACCATGGTCAAGGAGGCCCCCAAAGACCAGAATTGGTGGGTTTCATGCAGGCACCTCCACAACCCTCCTCCCAATGCCCCTGACTACCCGGGAGATACTTTAGCCATCTCTGGAGCTGCTCATATAGGGCCTGCATGCCTAAGGACAACCTGTATTTGCCCCGGGTGTGGGATGTGCAAATGTTGAACATTGTTGCTTTTCTGAAGAGAGCCACGTGTGTGTTCTAACTGGGAATGAAGGTTTCTCAGTGACACAAAAGATATTGCTCCCTGAAATGTGCCCTGCTACTAGAAAGCCCCCTTCCCTAGAGGTGTTTGAAGAACAGGTGCATAGATGAGCGTGGGGGCATATTTGTGTCTTCCTCTGTTGGGTGTCTCTCTGTGTGTACAACCAGGAGAGCCTATGGGAGAGGAATCCTGTGTCATGCCATTTGACTTTTGTGCCCATCTGTACAAGAGTAGCTCTCTCTGCTTGGTGTGATCCCTGACCTCAGCCATCCATCTCTGAGTCTAATACACACATGGCAGGACCCCGAGGGCAGGTAGGAGATGGGGCTTATGTGGGGGGCAATAGAAGAATCTGCATCATTTGGAGCACCCCACTATCTGGGCCATCTATCTCACCAGAGGCAATGAGACTTCAGCGTAGCTTGGTATCTACTCCAGATAACAGTCCTACCACTGCTGTTTCATTGGAAGGACTAAGTCTCTGTAGAGACTATGTTGTCCTGACTCCCCCTCCTCAACCATTTTTGGGGATCAAAGGAAACATCCGTGGCAATGGGTGTGGAGGAAGAGCCTTTGGATTCCTAGCCAATAGCTGAATTGTGTATGGGGGCCAGAGTATTTGAATCTCCCCCCTCTCCTCCCCCCACTGACTCTCTGGAATATCCCTGTGCAGCCTCTGCTCCTGTCACAGGTACCAGAGTGTGTGGGGTGTAGGCTGATATTGATACAATGATAATAGCCTAGAGGGGATCTTGTCTGAATGAGATGCCAGGGATGGCTGAACCATCCAGCAATCCAGATACCCACCCGAGCATCCTACTCTCCATCCAATTCTTATCTGGAAACTCCACTCCCATAATTTCCATGCCTCCATATTGACCTATGAACATCATACTCCTACTTCTGCGTCCATCCACTTGCCCGTCCATCCATCCAACCCCATCTACTTATCTAGTCATCCCAGCATCCATTGCCATCTCTCCCCTATAATGCACATTCATCCACTGGGAGATAGATATAGTCATCTATCCATCCATCCATTGCCTTATTCACCCATGTATTCATGCTCATCCCATTATTACTCACTTCTTTACCTGCCCATCCATCCATTCATACATATATTCATCACCCGACCCATCATCCATCCTTCCATCCATCATCATGCATTCTCATTTCCCTGTCACCATTCATCCCCATTGGTTTTGATCCCCCCCTCTCTCCATCCATCTCTCAGGGTATGTCTAGACTACAGGGTTTTGTCAACAGAAGTTTTGTCAACAGATTCTATCGACAAAGCTTCTGTTGACAAAGAGCATCTAGACTACATCCAGTTCTGTCGACAAAGCAAGCCGCTTTGTCAACATAACTGTGGACACAAAGGATAGTGTAGATGCAATAATGCCTTCTATCGCCAGAACTCTGTCAACAAAAGGCGTTATTCCTCGTAGAATGAGGTTTACATATGTCGACAAAACTGCTGAGTTTTGTCAACGTTATGTCAACATAACTCAAAGGCAGTGTGGACGCAGGTATCGTTTTGTCGACAAAAGTCCACTTTTGTCGACAAAACCCTGTAGTCTAGACACACCCTGTAATAGCATCGACACAGGCAAACCTCTATTTTGAAATAAAATTGACCTAGTGGAGCCCTTATTTTGAATTTGGTAAACCTCATTCTATGAGGAGTAACACCAAATTCAAAATAGCTATTTCAAATAAAGTGCTGTATAGACACTTAATTCAAAACAGGGGGCCTCCAGCCCTTCCCAGGGAGCCCTGGTGGCCACTCTGGGCACAACCAGGAAAACTTACTCTCCTCTCCCCCAGCCCCAGAGCCATTAAAGGGGTAGACCTTGGACAGAGTGCCTGTGCCAGCTCCAAACCTGCCAGCTCAGAGCCAGCAGAGCCACCGAGGCCTCTGACCCAAAGACCCCAAAATATGAGCCCAAAAACAGGACCCAGCAAGCCACTGTCAGCCAGCCCTCCACTGCTCCCCGGGAGCAGTCTGCCAGCTCCCAGGAACCTGACAGGGGCTGGAGAAGGCAGGCGCCTTCCTGGTCCAGGGTAGAGATCATGGACCTTATTCAGGTTTGGGGGGGTTGTCCCCAGTGTCTATGATCTCGGCACTAGACAGAGGAACGCGGCCGCCTATGGCAGGATAGCTGCCAGCCTGGCCACCAAAGGCCACATGTGAACCCAGGAGCAGGTTTGCATGAAAGTCAAGTTGGTCTGGTGTGACCCCCAACCGTGAGCTCTGAGCTTCCCCTCCCCTTCTTTCCCTCACCTCCCTCTTCCAGCTCCCTCCTCCCAGGTTTCCCTCTCCTCTCTTTCACCCTCACTCTTGCCCTCTCCCACCTCCTTTTCCCAGTCTCCCTAGAGGTTCATCCCCCCCATCCCCCACTTTTGTTCAATAAACCCAGTTTCTATTTTTGAAATACGTGTCTTTTATTTGACATCAGGAAGGGGGGCTAGGGAGGGGTAAGTGGAAGGAGGTGAGGGAAGAATGGGGCATGAGCCCCTGGTGGGGAGGACTGAGGAGGCTCTGAGGGCTCCTCGGGGTGAGTGCTCTCCCTCAGGGCCTCCTGGATCCTGACAGCCCCCTGATGGACTGCCTGGATGGCAGCCTGCAGCAAGTGCAGCCGGGCTGATGGCAACGACCCCATGAGATGCACCGGTGTTTCCAGGGACAGCTTTGACTCCACATGGCCGAGTGTTGTGGTGTCCCCAGTGCAGGCAGTCAGGGCACTCCAAGACAGCACTGCTTTGCTGTCCCTCATCAAGGTAGAAAAGCAAGCAGGGAACCCTGGGAATTATCTGTCCAGGGTGGGTATAGGGTCCCTTTAAGCATGGAGCTCAGTTAGCCTCAGGCACCAACCCCTCACAGTAAGTCCTAAACTGATGCCCTGTTTGCACTGGTTCCACCAGCCTTAACTTCTGTTCATGGTCCACTCAGTGTGAATGTCCTATTTTGAAACAGCAAAATGCTATTTCAAAATAGTTTTTGTGTCTAGATGCATTATTTGAGTTAGTTTATTCAAATTAACTTTTTCGAATTAAGTTAATTTGAAATAGAACTGTAGTGTAGACATACCCTTACTCCTCTCAGAAATATGTGTGTATTCTTCAAACCTGCTGTCCTATCACATGGCTCCCCAACTGCGCTGGGCTTCAATGTATCTGTTCCTCTGCAATTTCTATATATATGTTTAGCTGTCTCTCTAGACCTCTCTCCAACACTGCTTCCAGGATGTAGCCACTGAACCTTCCTTCAATAGAATCAACCCACCCTTCCTCAATGCAACCTACATTTCCTTTCATGGCTTCTAGCCATCCTTCCTTTCATGCCTCCAATAGATCCTATTTCCATGCCGTCAACTTAACCTTCCTTCCATGGGACCTATGTGTCAACCGATCCTTCCATTCAAGTCATCTACTCATGTATCTACCCATCCTTCCTTCCATGCCATCTATTCATTTACTTATCCATCCTTTCTTCCATTTGATCTACTCATGCATTTACACATCCTTCCTTCCACAATATCTACTCATACATCCACCCATCCTTTCTTCCATGGTATAGCCCCATAAAGCTACCCATCCCTCCATGGTACAGATGTCCACACACATACAGGATCTGGAGTATCTTGGCATCTCCCAGCCTTAGAAGTTTTTCCTCTTCCGCAACCAACAGATTTTTACCCAGTGACACCACAACAAGGAGACCTGGGAGTGAGCGTACACTAGTTCCATTTATTCACTTGTCATCACAGATGGCACAGAGATAATTTACAGGAAGCTCTAACAGACAATGCTAGCAATGGGATGGGGAGAAGATGTCTTCATTTACCGGGGACATTGCGGATGTTGCGTTGGGTGAATTTCAGTGGTGTCAGAGCTTGATGGATGACCATGCAGGTATAGGTGGTCCCACTGTTCCAGTTGGCCTTGTCGACTGTCATCTTGCTATAGAGGAAGTAGGTTGAGTCGCCCTCTCTTTCCTTCATGGGCGAAGTGGTGACAGATTTGTTGCTGTCACTCGACTGGCTGCCCTCCATCCACTTCACTGAGATGTCCTCAGGGAAGAAGCCCCGCACCAGGCAGGTGAGGCTGACAGTATCTCCATTGTTGCTCAACTCATCAGGGTGGGGGCGCAGGAGGTAGACACGGGGCGGAGAGCTCTTGCCTTGTGTGGGTGGAGATGGAGGACACAGATGAGTCATGCACATCACTGGGCTGGGGCCACAAGGGGAGATGGGCAGGGCTGGTGTTTGTTTGGGGGGAAGGGAGGTATAGGAACATGCCCTCTGTCCTCCAGGTTAGTGGGAAGGGCTGGGACTGGGATTGTCCTGGGGTGTGGAATTGAAGGTAGGATGGTGTCATCTCACATGAGGATAGAGAGGGACCCAAGGCCAAGATCCCGGATTGTTAGGGGCTGGGTCTCCCCCTGAAAGACCATCCCTCCCTGGTGGGGGCTGTAACAGGGGTCTCTCTCTTAGGGGCCATACCCTTATCCTACCTTGCTTCTTGGAGATGGATCTGATGATGGGTGAGGGCAGCTCCGAGTGCTCCACTTTGCAGGTGTATTTCTCTCCAGACTCCCAGTCGCGGGGAAAGATGGCCAGGGAGCTGGAGGCGGTGAAGGTGCGGTTGCGCTGCTCAGACAAGGCGATGGGTTCGGGGCTAATGGTCCCTGGCTTTTCCCGGGACCAGACCACTTTCAGGTCAGCGTCGTTAGGCAGGTTGACGACCAGGCAGGTGAGCAGGGGGCTCTGGCCCACGTACAGTTCCTCAGGGGATGGCGGCACCGTGAAGACGAGGATGTTACTGGTGGTTGTAGGTACATCTGGAAACAAGAGACTGGCTTATCCCGGGACCCGACCACTTTGAGGTCAGCGTCATTAGGCAGGTTGACGACCAGGCAGGTGAGCATGGGGCTCTGGTCCACGTACAGTTCAGCAGGGGATGGGGGCACCATGAAGACGAGGATGTTGCTGGTAGATGTAGGTACGTCTGGAAACAGTAGAGATCACGTCAAACGCTAGGCCTAGTCTCCCCTGTCTGAGCCCACCCCAGTCTCCCTGCTCCTCCCTCAAACCCAGATGGCATCCCAGCTCAGTGTCACCTTTGCACTTGCGGGCTTCACCCTCCTCCGTGGTCCCGGTGCCCGGATGGAACACTCTGCAGGTGTACGTCTTGTCCTCCATAAACTCTTCCTGGGAGACGCTGGCATTGCTGTGGGTGCTGAAGGTTTGGCCTCCAGCATCCTTCTTGGCGGGGGCTGTGTTGCCCTGAAGCTGCCCAGACACCCCGTCTACCAGCCATTCCACCTTCAGGGGCATGGGGGAGAAGCCGGAGATGAGGCACAGCAGGTGGATGGTGCTTGGTTTGGTAGTGCAGGAGGAGTGGTAGACTTGCACCGTAGGTGGGTGGGGTTTGGAGCTGGGAGTTTCTGGGAGAAGGGTGGCAGGTGTTAATTACTGTACCGATCCCTGATGAGCCCTCCACCCCTTTCCCTGTAGCATGCTCCTCCCCATCTGGCATTCTGCTACCGACAGCACCGTGGAGAACTCTGCCTCTTCCCAGCAGTGCTCCACCCATTGCTCCTCGTTGCAGGTTCTCTCCTCTCCCCCTTTCTCTGCATGGTCCCACATGCTCCTTGTGAAGACCCAACACCATCCACCCAACCCGGACATTTCTGAGTTTCCATGGAATCCCTGTTTCCTTCCATCCACCCACACCAGCCATTCCACCAGTTCACCCAACTAGCAAGCTGTCACCCTCCCCCAACCCACCTTCTCTCCCTGTAGTTGTCACTGTTTCAGTGACCCCCTCCCGCTCTTCGCCTTTGGTTGTGCTGGCCCTACTTGGGATTTCCTTGGAGATGCTGGATTTTGTGGGCTTGTGCTCGACGGTGCAGCGATAGGTGTTGGATTGCCAGCTGCTGTCCGAGACGGTGACCTGGCTGCTGAGTGAGTAGAGACCGCTGGAAGAGTGCAGCATGGAGGGGTAGGTCTTCACGCCCTCAGAGCCAACGGCGGGGGGGCCCTGCACTTTGACCGGCTCAGGGGTATACCCATCGACCAGGCAGCCGAAGGTGACCTGCGTGGAGGTGGCTTCTCCAGGGCAGGAGGTGAGAGGGAAGACGGACGGGGATTTGGGGTCATGAGATGCAGCCCCAATGGAGACCTTGCCCCGGTCATTGCAGGGCACCAGGTCTATGTCTCCTTGCCAGTGGAGAGCGTCTCCTGATGAATTCTCCCCACCCCACCCTGGTACTCCAGTCAGCACAGCAGGCACTTTATGTCAAGGCTGTTGATGGTTGGAAAGTCTTAATCTCTGTTAGCCAGGATGGGCAGGGATGGGGTCTCCTAGCTAGGAACAGGTGACGGGGAGAATACACCTGAGGTTTCCCTCTTCTGTTCATTCCCTCTGGGGCACCTGGTATTGATTGCTTTTGGCAGACAGGATACAGGTCCAGATGGACCTTTGATCTGACCCCGGCAGCCCATTCTCCTGTTCTTATGATGACCCCAAAGAATGGGGAAGCCAAATAGGTACAATACAAGAAGGATCAGAGGAGAAAGATAAGAACGGCCAGACTGGGTCAGACCAATGGCCCAGCCATCCCAGTATCCTGTCTGCCAACAGTGGCCTATGCCAGAAGCCCCAGAGAGAGGGAACAGAACAGTGAGTCCACATGTGATTCCCCCGTCACCCACCGCCAGAGAAACAGAGACTAAAAGTATCCTGTCTGCCAACAGTGGCCTATGCCAGAAGCCCCAGAGAGAGGGAACAGAACAGTGAGTCCACATGTGATTCCCCCGTCACCCACCGCCAGAGAAACAGAGACTAAAGACACCATCCTGGCTAATAGCCATTGATGGATCTAACCTCCATGAATCTAGCTAGCTCTTTTTTGAACCCTGTGAAAGTCCTAGCCTTCACCACATCCTCTGGCAAGGAGTTCCACAGGTTGACTGTGTGCTGCAGGAATAAAAACATCCTTTGTTTTCTTTTAAACCTGCTGCCTATACATTTCATTTGGTGATCCCCTGGTCCTTATATTGTGGGAATAGGTAAATAACTTTTCCTTATTCATTTCCCCCATTCCAGTCATGATTTTAAAGACCTCTATCATATCCCCCCTTTGGGTGTGTCTAGACTACATGCCTCCTTCGACGGAACTAGCATTATTTCAGAATAACAATGTGCGCTTCTACATAGCCATTCCCTTATTTTTAAATTCTTTCAGAATAATGGACGGCTTATTTCAAAATCTAAAAATCTCATTCTATGAGGAATAACACATATTCCAAAATAGTTATTTTGAAATAAGGCATGTGTAGATGCTCCATTACTGCTATTTCAGAATAGGCCCTCACCAGGGCCATTCTAAGTTATTCCTTCCCAGTGCCTCCTGGGGCTCTAAATCGAGATAGCATGTCTACATTAGGGAAGCCTGCTTGTGACTCATTTTGAGGCTCCCCTGTAGTTTAGATATGCTATTTCAAAATAAGTGTGCAGTGTACACCTACCCCTAGTTTCTTCTTTTCTAAGTTGAAAAATCCAAGTCTTTTAAATCTCTCTTTATATGGGATGGTTCCAAACCTCTAAGCACTTTTGTTGCCCTTTTCTGAAGCAACCGCATCTGAAGCCGTGATTATTTTAATCGCGGCTTCATTTCCCTCTGCCGATCTGGCTAATCTACATGCCTCCGTCGAAGGAGGCATGTAGTCTAGACACACCCTGTGTCTCCTCTTTTCTAATCTGAAAAGGCCCAGTTTTTTAAATCTCTCTTCATATGGCCCCTGTTCCAAATGCCTCATCATATTTTGTTGCCCTTTTCTGAACCTTTTCCAATGCCATATAGTTTTCTTAGATGAGGTAAGCACATCTGTACACAGTATTTGAGAGGTGGGCGTCCCAGGAAAGTGAGGCAGAGAGAGAGAGAACGAGAGAGAGAAAGGGACTCTGCAGTCAATGGCAGAGTGAAATAGAAAACCCAGGAGTCCTATATCCCAACCTCCTGGCTCTAAACTGGACAATGCCCGGTACTGGAATCCCACTGAGTCCAAGAAATGGTTAATTTCACAGAATGGAGGGTTGTTTCCCGTAACCAGTGGTGGCATTTTCCTGAGGAACTAAATGGAATTAGGTGCCACAGTGGCAGGATAAAATCCCCCTTGGATCAATCCCAGGGTATGTCTACACTACCCTCCTAGTTCGAACTAGGAGGGTAGTGTAGACATACCCTATAAGAGGACAGTGACAATGGCACTGTAATTGGGTTATATGATTATCTATGGAGATTTCGACTGTAACTAGGTAGGGGTTCCCACACCTGCCCAGAACTTCTGTCTCCTTTTAGTGTTTTAGCTGATATGCAGTGAAAAAAATCCATCTTTTTTTAAAAAAGAAGTGCATACACTTCTACATAAATACATTTATATAAGGAACAATGCCGAAATTACAGACAGCAAGTTTCAAGTGCTCCTTCAGTCAAGGATCTGGCTTTTGTTTCTGTTGAATTTTTAAGGGGAGGAAAATATGGAGCTGTTATATAATTGTGTTTCTTTATAGCCAATTTAGATGATGATTCGAACACTTTCTTAAGGACAGCACCATTTGTGATAATAAGATATAGAGCAAAGTGTGCGCTACATAGATTTTAATACCCCGCTAGTTCGAACTAGCGGGGTAGTGTAGACATACCCCCAGTTTCTGCACCTAGGAAACAGCCCAAGATTTTGACCATCCAAGTGACATTTTTGAGGAGTTTTCTGGGCTCTCCAAAGAGGCACCATGTCACTTTTGGCTTGTTAGGCCTGTGTCTGAGGCAGTGCACACGTAACACCTGCAACATTAGCTGTGGAGGAATAATAAATATTAGACACTTGTGAGGCTCCTAAGTTCATTGCTAAGATCATCGGCCCCCTAGTGGCCCGTTATTGATTTTGTTGCTCACTCAGTTGATTACTCTCCTGGGAAGTCCCTGGACCCTTTGCAGAAAAGTGTGGGACTTTCCAACTCAACCCAAGACATTTTGCTCGTTGGATGAGAATGAGGGTTAATATCATCCGGTTACTATTAACCCTGGTTCACAGAGAATGACAGTGAGGTGGTTAGGGGGAGCTCAGGGGTTATGGTTGGGGGTACAACTGTTCTTTAGTACTGGTAACATAATGGTCTAGAAAACCCAACTGAGGCTCAGGGGCTTATTACACTAGGTTCTCTTTAGTTTTCATAGGGAAAAGATGACGGTTAGAGTCTTGGAGTTAAGTAGCTTGTTTATCTTTTGAAGGATGAAAGCTGAGGTTCGGGTCATGGTTAAGGATTGGGGGTATAACCAGTTGGGTTTGAGGTTTGAATTTGGATTCTAGTTCTGGGATTTGGGTAAAAAACTTTTCCTCCCCAAAACTCAGTTTTGGACTATCACATCCCCTCGCTCACAATCTTATTACCAAGTTCATCCCTCAAGAAAACATTCAGAATCCAACCGAGTTGGAGAAAGGTTTTTTTCTGGACGCTTTCCGCACATCTACAGGAGAAATCTCTCAAGACCTACAGCTCCCTCAATTTCTGGGTGCCAAACCTGGAGGTGACTTGGAGCTGGCATTAGCTGGAGATGTCGGAGTTGGTCTCTTCTGAAGAGGAAGCCCCAAAGATCTCCAGAGGGAGCTCCTCAACTCGGAGCCAGCTCTACTCAAAGGCTACATTAGCAACCTGAACTTCAATCTGTCCCCAGAACTGGGGTTCTCTGTGATGTTCCTCCTCTGCTGGTAAAGACCAAGTGTGGCTTCACCGGGAACACCTCGCGCTTAGCTCTCCGCATAGGGCATGAAAGCAGAGTTGGCGGAGAAAGGCAGAGACGGCACTGAGCGACGCACTCCTACACTCGGTGAGTTCAGGGTGTTTCCTCTGAGAAGGGACACCCCAAAGGGGGGATTTATGTCTGAGTTTAGAAAGCTTTCCGTTGGAAATTGGACTAGAGATGAGACAATTATATCCCCGTAGGAAAAAATTCAGCAATTCCCATCTAAGTTCTAATAGACGCTGCTGCTCACCCCTCCTCTCTCAATGTCCCAAAGACTTGTCATCCAGCCCCCTACCCTAATAAATCCCACAGCTCCCTTGCTCTCCCGCACAGTCTGGTGGTTCCCTTCAATTCCCATTTGCTGCTCCTTGCTAGTTCAGTCTCTGCCACTGGCCGGCAACCCCTCATTCCTGGCCCAAATCTAGGTTCACCCCAGTCCTGTCGGTGCCCCTCACTCCAGACCCCTAACAGCCCAGCCTTACACCCCAGCTCTGCCAGTGCCCCAATTCCCTACCTGCAGCTGCCTCCCAGACCAGCTCTGTCCCCCGCTCTGTTGATGACCAGCATTCTCACCCCACCCATCCCTGGGTTCCCCCAGCCCTGCTAGTGCCCCTCAGTCCCCAACCGCAGCCTCTGCCAGCCCAGCCCTGGGTCATCCAGCCTTGCCAATGCTCCTTACCCCCAACCTGTAGCCCCGCTAGCCCAGCACTGGGCCACACTCAGTCCTGCCAGTGCCCCTCACTGCCAACTTGAGCCCCTGCTAGCCCATCCCTGTGCTCCCCCAGCCCTGCTAGTGACCCTCACTCCTGACCCACAGCTCCTGCCAGCCCAGCCCTGGGTTATCCAGCCTTGCCAATGCCCCTCACCCCCAACCCGTAGCCCCTGCTAGCCCAGCACTGGGCCCCACTCAGTCCTGCCAGTGCCCCTCACTGCCAACTTGAGCCCCTGCTAGCCCAGCCCTGTGCTCCCCCAGCCCTGCTAGTGACCCTCACTCCTGACCCACAGCTCCTGCCAGCCCAGCCCTGGGTTATCCAGCCTTGCCAATGCCCCTCACCCCCAACCCGTAGCCCCTGCTAGCCCAGCCCTGTGCTCCCCCAGCCCTGCTAGTGACCCTCACTCCTAACCTACAACCCCTGCCAGCCCAGCCCTCCCAACCCAATATGCCCCTCACTCCAATATGCAGCCTATACCAGACCGGCCCTCTTGGTGCCCACCACTCGCAAACCACATACCCTGCTAGCCCAGCCCTGCATTCTTGACCCAAAGTTCCCGCTAGCAGTGCCAGGTTCCCACAGTGCCCCTCACTCCTCCACCACAGCCCCCCAGCCCTGCCTTGGGCTCCCTGCAGGTCTGCCAGTGCCCCTCAGTCTCAAGTTATATCCCCTGCTAGATCAGTTCTGGGCTCCCCCCAGGTCTCTGCTGGTGCCCCCACTCTTGAGTCCTTGAGACTCTGGACCGCTTTCGACCCTGGTTTCCCAGATGCCGGGTGGGGTGTGAGGGAAGCAGCTCTGTCCCCCAATATCTGCCTCGGGGGATGCAGCCTGCCCTGGGTTACACCCAGGCCATGCACGGTGAGCCGAGCTCTGCACCCTGCCCCTCTACTACATCTGCACAAGGGGATGTACCCCTCTGCTCTTCAGAGCTCAGGTGAGACCTCAGCCCATCTGGATCCTAGCCCCAACTCTCCCTCAACCACTAGCCCTCACTCTCCTCCCAGGGCTGGGAAGAGAACCCAGGAGCCCTTAATGATGCTCGCTGTGGTAGGAGAAATCCCCCCGCACTCACGTGACAAGCCAAGAATTCACTGACCAAATAACCAGCCATGGTGGGTTGCAGCCGGGCACTCTGGGCTGGGGGGTCTATCCGGGAGCCCAGCGCTGCTCCGTGTCTGCCGTGCTGTTCCTCTGAGGGATCTGTGCCTCTGAGACAGCCCCTCTCCTTCCCATAAATGAAAGTCAAGATAATTGTCAACCGAGAAGATTGGAGGATGCCCAGTGGGGGCTAACAGGGCTTGGGCTGGTTAGAAGGTGTGAAATTCCCACAGCTGGGCAACGGGCGAGAGGAAACCCAGGGTGAAAAAATAACTGAGGTGCGACTTTCACTGGTGCCAACTTCCTCTTTTTAGCCATGTTGATTGTTGTTTATTTGTTGGCTGCTTCTCCCCAGAGAGATGGGCATGAAAGCTGCAGAGCTCAGAGATATTTGATGTACCCTAGTGGGGGAGGGGTGGGATTCACAGGTTTGAAAGAGACCTCGGGAATCATCACGTCCAACCCGCTGCCCAAAGCAGGACCAACCCCAACTCCATCATCCCAGTTAGGGCTTGGTCAAGCCGGGACTTCAACACCTCTAGGGATGGAGATTCCACCCCTTTTCTAGGGAACCCAGCTAGGTGCTTCCGCATCCTCCTAGTGAGACAGCCAGATGGACAGACAGATAGACAGACAGATCAATCTTCAATGTACAGTTGAAGAGTAATCTTATACTCTATTTTCTTTCTACCATCAGGAAACACAGCCCCATCTGTCTTCTCCCTGGCTTCCTGCTGCACCAGCACAAGCAGCGCTTGCCGAGATAGACACCTTGTCTGTCTTGTGACCGGCTATTCACCATCATCAGTGAGAATCCGGTGGAATTCTGGCAGAGTGACCGAGGGGGTGCGGGACTTCCCAGAGATGATGGCCAGGAATGGGCTTTACACCCAGATCAGTCAGCTCACCATCCCTGCTGGTGACTGGAGGGGTGACACCTACCAGTGCGATGCGACACACGATGCGACAAGGCGAACACTGTCCAAGACGTTCCCAGAGGAATGTAAGACGGGCGATGGGGGGTAGTTGGGACAGCCAGGCAGAGATTTTGAAATTTCATAGGCACCTGAGACCAATTAAAGCGAATCTACACCCCTGCGGGAGTCTTGGGGGGGAATGTCACACTGGAATACTGGCCAAGCATTGGCCAACTTTTGAAACACAAGGCACGCCCTCCATACTCGCCCCTCCTTGCGTCCCTCCTAATAGATCGAACAATATGGGAACACTTAAGGTAGAATGCACGTATGGGCAGAGCACTGTCTTCCACTGATGGGGTGGTTTTCCTGTTTGGCTTCAAGATTTAGGTGCCTGATTCCCTTGGGAATATGGGCTGTCTCTACACTGGCATGAATTTCCGGAAATGCTTAAAATGGAATACTATTCCGTTTTCAGCTTTTCTGGAAAAGGAGCGTCTGCATTGGCAGGCTGCTTTTCCAGAAAAGCCCTTTTTTCCGGAAAAGCGTCTGTGGCCAATGTAGACGCGCTTTTCCGGAAAAAAGCCCCGATCGCCATTTTCGCGATCGGGGCTTTTTTCTGGAAAAGACTACTGGGCTGTCTACACTGGCCCTTTTCTGGAACAGTGTTCCGGAATAAGGACTTATGCCCGAGCGGGAGCAGAATAGTTTTTCCGGAATAGCGGCTGATTTTGTACAGTAGAGCATTGTTGCTTTTCCGGAAATTCAAGGGCCAGTGTAGACAGCTCACAGCTTATTCCGGAAAAGCGGCTGATTTTCCGGAATAAGTGGCCCACTGTAGACACAGCCCTGGTGTCCAAATCCCTTTGGCACAGCGCTGGGATGACATATCCCCAAACCTTCATGTTGTCCCTCGTGTCTTGGAGAAAACTTTGGCTCATTGCCTTACTCCTTAATCCTAACCCTAACCCAAACTGCTTATGGAGATACATCAGCCGATGTAGTCCAAAGCTCAGCCTTGTTCAAACAAAAGGACTCAAAGCAAAACCAGGGTAACTCAGAGCACAGGGTCCCTGCCCCCATGTACCTCTCCAGCATTTAGTCAGCTGCCTGATTAATAACCTCACTAGCTCAGCTTTCCTGGCTGTATGCCATGCCTACTGACTGGTCCTCATGCAGAGATGTTTCCCTCAGGTGCTTTCCTCAACAAGGAGCCAGAGGCCTTCCCTTCCCTGACCAGTCCCATGGAACTATCCTGCCAATGATACCTGTCATCCAGGTCCCACAGCAGCAAATCTAGGCATTCTGGGGTCAGGATTCCAGCTGCTGTAAATCAACTGATCTCTACTGAAGTCAGTGATGTTTCATTCATACCCAGACACAGTTAGCCCTTTCCCAGGATTTCACCTGCTGCCATGTCATGCTATGAAACACCACAGTCCCTCTTATCCAGGGGACACTTCTTGAGGAGAAGAAGTTCAAAGAAACACAGCTCAACTTCCAGCTTTGTCCCTGTTGTTTACCAGGGAGAACACACCTAAGGCAGCAGATGCACAAACAACCCAGGAAGGCATTTGACATTTGTGTAAAATATGTATGGCCCTGTTCCCATTTGCTTTAACACCTCATATATGTCTGTGAAAAATCTCAGCCCTAAAGTATTGAATGTAACCATACCTCAAAGAGGGGAGAGTTTCGCTAGAGGTGGGTTGACCGCAGTGTCATCACTCTCTCTGGAAGGGGACTGGTGATCAATAGAGAGTGACCCTGAACTGTCTTGTTTCCTCTTTCTACTCTCAGCATGCGGTCCGATGATGCCACCCCAGGTTCGCCTCCTGGTCCCCCCCTGTGAGGATAGCTCCACAGGGAGCCAGCTGGAGCTGATTTGCCTTCTCCTCAGCTTCCGACCCAACAAAGCCAATGTGAAATGGCTGGTGAACAATAACACGACGAATCTCCCCACCACTGCCTTCTCTTCTTCGTTGGGTGCAGACGGCACCTACATAGGACAGAGCCACTTAAAGGTCACCAAAGAAAGCTGGGAGAAAGGGGAAGAATTCACCTGCCAAGTCACCCACCCAGCTGGGGGATTAAACCCCTTCGTGCAAAATACCAGCAAGTGCTTGGGTGAGGGTCTACAGGAGTGCAGGGTGGGGAGTGGGTGAGGAGAGAATCCAGCTCTGCCTAAGCGTTGGTTGGGTTGCACCTATGGTTAAAGAACACATGGGGATATGGTGGGGGAGACTGATACTGTAGGGCTACGTCTACACTGGCATGATTTTCCGAAAATGCTTTTAATGGAAAAGTTTTCCGTTAAAAGCATTTTCGGAAAAGCACGTCTAGATTGGCAAGCACTTTTTGCGGAAAAGCGTCCGTGGCCAATCTAGATGCGGTTTTGCGCAAAAAGGCCCCGATCGCCATTTTCGCGATTGGGGCTTTTTTGCGGAAAACACTACTGTGCTGTCTACACTGGCCCTTTTGCCCAAAAGTCTTTCAGAAAAAGACTTTTGCCCGAACGGGAGCAGCATAGTATTTCCGCAAGAACACTGACGATCTTACATGCGATCGTCAGTGTTCTTGTGGAAATTCAAGCGGCCAGTGTAGACAGCTGGCAAGTTTTTCCGGAAAATCATCTGATTTTCCGGAAAAACTTACCACTCTAGACACAGCCTAGATGGTTGGAAAGACAAAGAGATAGATGCTGTCAATGTGGTCGAAGGAGGTCTATAGATGGATAGATGATGAGAGGGCTGCTGGAAGAAGCTTGTTGGTCCACCTTTGAGCTCGACATTGGACTAGACCTGCTGAAATCTCTTCTAACCTTCATTTATGAGCTGTGGTGGCTATTTCTTTTCATTGCCTCCCAGATGTTGATAGAACAACCTGTTGCGGTGCCTTGGATTCATTATTAGGGGATGGGCACCTGATAGAACCAACCCAGGAGACTGTTCTCCTGGTCTTTCCGTGTGTTTAATGTGGCTGGCTGGGATGAACATTGGCACATCCTTCAGTGTTTGGGAAGAAACAGTTTGGTTTGTGCTCATTTGCTTGTTTTTTAATGGAGGGTTGATGTCGCTCAATTGACTGCTCTCCAGGCTCAGAGAGGGGTTCAGGGTCTTTTAATGCCATCTCACATTATTGATACTGGTATCTTTGGATTTCTCAGCCTGCCCCAAAAGCGCACTTCAACCAAGCATCTACCTGGCCAAACCCTCCTATGAAGACGTGATCAAGAATTCTGGTCACGTGACCTGTCTAGTTTTAAGTTACGACTTAGCAGCCACCACAATCACCTGGCAAGTGGAGGGGAAAGTCAGCTCTGAGGGGAAAACAGAACCCCCCAAGAAGAACAACAATGGGACCACCAGCCTGGTCAGCTCCCACCCAGTGTCGCGGGCACAGTGGGGAGAAGGTACCAGATTTACCTGCAAAGTGAGAACCCTCTGTTCTGGAGAACTCACCCAGGAGATAACCATGGTCAATAAAGGTGAGGATCCTCAGCATCCCAAAGGGAAAGACAAACTATCGTTATTGTCAATTGGTGGCCATCTGCATAACGGTAAAACCCACCTGAGGGTGAGGAGCGTATTGATGCTCTGGAAGGAGATTGAGATGGTGTCCACACTTTGGGAAGGGGGCTGGTCTTGATGACCTCCTGAGGTCTTTTCCAGCTCTATGATTCTATGATTCTTATCTTGGATGTGCACCCAAGCCTTATTCTTGCCTTTCCCCTCTTCCTTTTTGTATAGACATGGATAAAAAGGAGCCTTCCGTCACCATCTCAAAAGCCTACCACGAAAACCTCTCAGGGGCCAAAGAGTCCTTGACGCTCATCTGCGAAGCTAGCGGCTTTTATCCCAAAGACATCAGCATCTCCTGGTTGAAGGACAACACCCCAGAACTCACGGCCACTTACAGAAATGGTCCCATGGAAGGAAGTGGGGCCTTCTCAGCCTACAGCATCCTAAAGGTCAATCGAAGCGAAGAGGCAGAAAACTGCACCTGCGTGGTGCATCACCCGGCTTTGGAGGAGCCCAAGAGTGTGATGGAAAAAGTGTCCTTCAGTAAGTGGATTCCCAGAGGCAGGGGTTAATTTGGGGAATTCTGCATGTTTTGTTGTCTCATCCAGTCAATGGCATGAGCAAGTGCTTGAGTCCATAAGTGCTCTGGACTCAAGCACTTGTGAACCTCACTGTGCTTGAGTCCATAAGTGCTCTGGACTCGGGGGTGGGGGGTGGCCTCACTGACGGATTTCTATCTCCATTATGAAGCCATCTTTGGTGAAACCAAGAAGTGCAAGATTCATTGAAACCTGAGTTATGTGGGGTTATTACAGGAAAATTCCCTGCTCCCCAAGGGCATTATCCAGTCAGAAATATCCAAATCAATGGGGATCTCAACTTACCTATTAAGGAGATCTTACCACAGCCATCAGGACCCCATCACCACTAAAGGAAGTGTGGGAAAACTTTTCTCAATGCCAATTCCAGAGAGAATTTCAAGGATAGAGCAGCATGGCATCTTGTTGGGCTGTGATTTGGCCATGACCTTGGGTGGACACTCTTGCTCTTGGAGAAATGTCATGGCTGCCCTGGGTTTACTGGAACACTACTTTCCCTCTGAGTCATTATTTCTTTCTGGGAATGGGTTGCTTCACAAGGAGACAGAGATTTCTGCAGCGGGAGGTTCACAATTATGGCCTTGTGGTCCATTTGAGTCTGGCACCTTGACAGGTTCCTTCGCAGATCTCAAGCTGCTGAAGGCAGTGAATTTCAATTTATCCTAAAGAAGAAGCTGATCTGGTATAGGGTTGAGTCCCAACGGGATTCAGAAACTAACCAATACAGGTTCATCCATTGCCCCATCATGGAATCTGGGGGTACGTCTAGACTACAGGGTTTTGTCGACAGAAGTTTTGTCGACAGATATTGTTGACAAAACTTCGGTCGACAAAGAGCGTCTAGACTACATCCAGTTCTGTTGACAAAGCAAGCCGCTTTGTTGACATAACAGTGTGGACGCAAAGGACAGTGTAGATGCAATAATGCCTTCTATCGACAGAACTCTGTCAACAAAAGGCGTTATTCCTTGTAGAATGAGGTTTACATACGTTGACAAAACTGCCGAGTTTTTTCGATGTTATGTCGACATAACTCAAAGGCAGTGTGGATGCAGGTATAGTTTTGTCGACAAAAGTCCACTTTTGTCGACAAAACCCTGTAGACTAGACACACCCTGGGAGTCCAATGAATCTGGTATCTCATCTCCATCAGCAGCCACATTGCTAACGATCTGAATGAGCAATATCAAGCGTGTGCTTCATGCAACATACACTAGAGGAGATTGTCCTTGGAGGCCAGGGTTACAGTTCTTTGGGATTCAAGCTCTCCCATCACCCTTCGGCTTGTAGTGAGAGTTCGGGGGCTCATGCTCTAAGGACCATTGGTGGACAATAAGGGTGAAATGTAAATGGCCTTTTTGCCTGTGCAGGGAGTAGATGCTTAGGGGAGATGTGTTCACTCCAGAGCTTTAGCCATGGCAGGGGATCTAGTATTAAGAGGAGGACAATCTATATGCTGGGCTTGGCCATTTGCCCTCTGTGCCCCACCTGGCCTCGCTGAGAAATGGGGAGCCACAGTCTGAGCTTGCGATGTCCGTGGATCTCATGAATTTCACTCTGGAAGGCCCCTGAATGGAACAAACAGGGAATCTCTGTCCACTGCCATGTTGCCCACAAGGAGGCATTGTGCCAATAGAGCAGTAGCTGTTCCAATTGGCTTGTGAGTTGGCAAAAATCTTATTAACCACTATGGGATCCAGGAATCCAAGCCTCTAGATGGGTAGGACACCCTGACTCAGGTTTTCTGATGCCTTAGAAGAGGAAGATTCTCTCCTTTCCATCTGAGAGCTCCAAACTCTAATTCCCAGCCCACTGACCACAGCCTGTTCCTCAAACCTTCCCCGGGGTTGGAAGGCCTGAGAGAAAGGCCCTCAATTTCCACCGGGTGTCTGATGAGTATTCATTCTGCCCAGCCCTCAACGCTGCCTCCCGCCCCCAACCAGGTAGCAGCGACTGTCATCGACCCCCTCCGAAGGTCTTCCTCCTTCCCCCATCCCTGGAAGATCTCTACATAGCACAGAATGCCACCATCACTTGTGTGGTGAGCGGCATGGAGACCCCCAGTAGCCTGGAGATCTCCTGGAGCAGGAGCAATGGAGGCCCGTTGATGGTGAACTCCAGGGAGCCGGTGCCGCATCTAAATGGCACCTACAGCACAGCCAGTGTCCTGAGGGTGTGCGTGGAGGAGTGGCAGTCCGGGGAGGAGTTCACCTGCACCGTGAAGCACCAAGACATCCCATCGGCCGAGGTCAAGACTATTCACAAAAGTCTCGGTAAGCCCTCTGTGGGGTACCAGGTCTAATCTGGCCCCCGGATGGTGAATTCTCCCTGGGACCTTGTGACTCTAGGGGTCGTTAGCCCTGATCCAGGTGCAGGTTGGTGGCAGTGGGAGTTAGAAATGTGTTGGTGGGATGACATGGGCACAAAAAGTCAGAATTCCGGAGTCCTTTGTCCAGCTTTGCCAGGGGAGTGGGATATAGCGAGTAAGATCAGCAAGACTTAGAGCTATGACCCCTAGTTCTAGCCTCTTTTCATGCAATTGATATAGGTCTAGAGGCTACATTGTTTCCATGGCTCTGCAGGGCTAGGGCAGGGGAAAGTGTAATGGGATAGGGGAGGATAATGAGGGTAGGGGAGTCAGGCAGGATTCTTGGGTCCCTTTCCCACCACTAACTGGTGTTTCCTTGTGGCAGAGGTCTCTCTCCTGGCCCCTTCTGTCTACGTCTTCCCTCCTCATGCGGAGGAGCTGGCTCTCCAGGAATGGGCCACTATCACCTGCCTGGCCTCCGGCTTCCGACCCAGAGATATCTTGGTGACATGGACCCGGAAGGACCGGCCCCTTCCGCAAGAAGCCTACATCAATATCGGCCCCACGCGGGAAGCTGGGGAGGAGGAGAGCTACTTCATCTACAGCAAGCTCAGAATCCAGGCCTCTGAGTGGCAGAAGGGGGACACCTACTCCTGCATGGTGGGGCATGAAGGCCTGCCCATGACCTTCACCCAACAGAGCGTGGACAAGGCCTCCGGAAAACCCACCGCCGTCAATGTCTCCGTGGTCTTGTCCGACACTGATGTCACTTGCCACAATTAAAAAAATGAACACATATGAAAAGGACAAATCAAATCCGTTGGTATATATGGTTGTGACAATTTTCTTCCACTATTTGATCTGAGGAAGTGGGTCTGGCCCACAAAAGCTCATCACCTATTAAACCATCTTGTTAGTCTTTAAAGTGCTACATAGTCCTGTTTTTTGTTTCAGCTACACCAGACTAACACGGCTACATTTCTATCACTTGTAAAAACTCACTCAAATGAGGGTTTCATTGGTGTCTATAAATACGTGCATGGAAAAAACATATCAGGCACTTAAAGACTCTGAATGTGCAGAGAAGGGCTTAAGGGAAGCCAATGGCAGATGTAACATAGGGTATGTCTAGACTACAGGGTTTTGTCGACAGAAGTTTTGTCGACAGATACTGTCAACAAAGCTTCTGTCGACGACAAAGCAAGCCGCTTTGTCGACATAACAGTGTGGACGCAAAGGACAGTGTAGATGCAATAATGCCTTCTATCAACAGAACTCTGTCGACAAAAGGCGTTATTCCTCGTAGAATGATGTTTACATACGTCGACAAAACTGCTGAGTTTTGTCGACGTTATGTCGACATAACTCAAAGGCAGTGTGGACGCAGGTATAGTTTTGTCGACAAAAGTCCACTTTTGTCGACAAAACCCTGTAGTCTAGACACACCCATAACGATGAAACATATACCATCTTCATTCAGGGTGGATCCGGGTTGTGCTGACTCTACAGATACAGTCCACCCAACTTTACTTTTCCTGGGGGGCCAAACCATGATGTGGCCCAATGGCCAGGGTCTAAGAACTCACCCTTAGAGTCATGGCAGTGTGACCTAATGATCTAAAACCAGATGGTTACCCACAAGCACAGGGTAGTGAGGTCTGGTAGACAGCATCAACGTCTTAGCCGTCAGGTGCAGGATTGTGTGTTGTAGGGACTACAGGCATGAGTGCAGGGCAGCATGGCCTAGTGGACAGAGTCAATAAAGTAGCCCTTCAGTCCAGCGTCAACAGAGATCAGAGTCAACAGAGGAGCCCTAGGGTGCAGGACAGTGTGGAATAATGGCCATGTCTGGGCCTGTTACCAGAGGGGGTGAAGGCTGGGGGACAGAGACCTTGGCCCACCTGACTCCCCTGGGTTCTGACCCAGGATGCTTGAGGGGCGGAGTGGTTTGACATTGGGTCAGCAAGGAATCCAACACACTGACTTCACAAGGGTGGGAGATACCACTCACTTCCTCTCTAGGGGCCACATCCTACTGGCCTTCCTGGGGCTGTTGTCCATGTGATGTTGGTGTGTCTGGGCTCCCTGATGTGGGTAACTGACTCCAGCTGCTCAGGTGTAGGCAGCAGGTCTCTGGCCACTATTGTGGGATCTTCAAGCTCTTTCCCAGGCAGCTTTCCTGCTGCAGAGAAGACACATAGGCAGGCTCAGCAAAATCTGGGCTCCTAACAAATGGTACCCCATGCGCAATGAATTGGGAGAGGTCTTTACTCTCACCCCATGACACTAGAACGGAGGTGGCTCAAGGAGTGGAGATTTGTGCCTCCAGTTCACTGCAAAGTCACCACAAGTGAGAAATGAGTCAGGGGCCATCATTTCTGTTTCCAGCGTCCTGTCGATATGGGCCCCTGATGTCTGGAAGGGGTCGTCCCCTTCCAAAAGTGCTTTTGCGGAAAAGCGTCCTGCCAATCTAGATGCTCTTTTCCGAAAATGCTTTGAACGGAAAAGTTTTCCGTTAAAAGCATTTCTGGAAAATCATGGCAGTGTAGACGTAGCCATCATGTGTCTGAACTGAAGGTCGGCTATTCCGGGATTATAGCTTGTTTTCAAGTTCTCTCCTGAAATAGGTTGAAAGAGGTTGAGGTTACACTATGGGATGAAGATGACTTTCTGGCTTTCCAGGGGGTTTTGCATTTGGGTGGTAGCAAAGCTGAGACCTTGGGGAGTTTTAATACAGTAGCCTTCGGTGGCATAGTGATTTAAGCTTTCTTGCCTGCTCCCACCTTCTGCACTCAAAGTGCCCATGCAGGGAACAAACTTAAAAGGGGCAACTTGGAGTGTGGTTAATGGTGTCACCATAATTTTGCCCCCTTCTTGTAGAGCTCATGGAAGGACAGGTCATTGTATATCAGGGATCTAGGATTCAGGTGAGAGATGAGGTAGGTCCACAGCCTACATAGGACACAGGACAGAAAGTTCCTTTCCAGCCCCTGTGCAGGGATCTCTAGGTAGGATTCGGAGATCACTGGGAGGTTTTCTCTGCTCTAGGCGATGCAGGAAGTGAGACCAGATAGTTATCCTGGTCCCTGATCCCCTAGTCATAGAGGAATATCCTGGTTTGGAGCTGGAAAGTCTAACCCCATCTATGTTGGGCAAAGGCCAATATTGCCCAAAGGTGGGGATGGGACACCAATCCTAGCTTTTCTAGGAACAGATTGGAATAGGGACCAAGGGGGGGAGACCCTTAAAAGTTGTTCTCATTGGATGGCCTCATTAGGATGTGAGCTGTAGTCACACATAGATCTCTCCTCTGTGCTTGGCATCCCAGTTGCACTCGGAGCTGTGCACACATAACATCTGGTCTATGAACAGATGAGCTTCAAGTCCAAAGAGACACAGGGTGTTGAGGGAAACTGAGGCACAGAGAGAGGAAGAGAATTCTATGAGGTCCTACAATGTCAGAGACAGAGGGCACAGACAGACCCAGGACCCCCAAGTCCCATTCTAGTGCCCTGTTCATAGGACCATGCTGCCTCTGGCATATTCAAAATCAGGGGAGGTCTTGGAAGGGCTTTGTGGGCAAATTCCACAGGGCCCCAAAATAGGAGTTAAGGGACTGGCCTCTCTAATTGCCCTGTTTATCCCTTCCCCAGCGCCTCTCTGCCTGGTGGAGGACCAAGGGGTCTGTGCTGAAGGAGGAGAGGGGGAATCGGATCCTCTCTGGACTCCTGTAACCTTCATCGCTCTGTTCCTGCTCAGCCTGGTGTACAGCACCGGCGTCACGCTGCTTAAGGTGAGAGCCTCTTCGCACTACATGGCTTACAGCAATCTCCGGTGCTCAGTCACTGGACCTGGGTCCCAAAGCAGGCAGTTGAGACCATGCGGGCTCCACAGAGAATGCTCGTGTGGTGCCCAGTGAGCAGTGTCCTCTCCGCTAGGAGGTTTTCCAAGTCTGGAGTCTCCACAAGTCTGGTTCCAGCTCAGTGGAGAAGTGCTGGTGGAGGGCAGGCCTGGCTGGGCGAGACTCTATGGTCCCGGCCAAGCAGCTGGTCCCATGGTCCATTCTGGCCTTGCTCTCTCAGGGTGGGATGCTGCCCATGACCCCAACAGCAGCACCAGCTGAACCCCTCTGGTCTCTGTATCCTCAGGTGCGATGAGTGTCCAGCTCTGGACTCCTCCTTCCACTTCATGGTCTCCGGCCATTTTAAGCCCTGCTCACCTCCGGCCTTGTATGAGCCCTCCTGGAAGAGCCAAGCCCCATGGCAGCACTGAGGCTGGAAACCCGCCTGTCCCCAAGCAGGGAGGGTAGAGAACTTCCCTGGGCATCCCCAGGGAGCAGCCGTGTTGGAAGTGGTACCCAGCCCCGTATCCCTCTGTCAGTCCCAGCCGGGATTGGATTTGCTTGTGCGTGGGGGTGTGTAGGTGGACAGTGCACGGAACGCTAATCCCAGTGGACTCAGGGGAGGGAAAAGCTTCTCTCACCCCATCTGACGTTCAACATGCAACATAGACAGGAATCGAGTGTTGGAGCCAAAATAAAATGAGTTTACAATTCTGAGCTGCGTCTCAGCATGGCCTTCCGTGGGTGTCTGGTTCTGGCTGTTATCCGCCCAATCGAGTGTTGGAGCCAAAATAAAATGAATTTACAATTCTGAGCTGCGTCTCAGCACGGCCTTGCGTGGGTATCTGGTTCTGGCTGTTATCCACCCGCACATACAACCCTCTCTCCTTCCCTCCCTCCTGTCTCATACCATTTGTCCATCTCTATACATGCCCATAAAAGCCTCTCCACTTTTCTTTCTTTCTTTCTTTCTTTCTTTCTTTCTTTCTTTCTTTCTTTCTTTCTTTCCAAACCTTGCAGGGCTGAGGGATGAAGATCCAGATTTCTGGGTTTGTCGCTAGGCCCCCTGTCTCCCATTCGTAGGCAGGGGAGCACCCTAAAACTACTGACCATACCTGGAGGTGCCCCCTACCAACATAATGCAGATTTACCTGTAAAATGAGCACGCTCTGTTCTGGGGAACTCACCCAAGAGGTAACCACGGTCAATAAAGGTGAGGAGCCTTTTCATGGCAAAGGGAAAGGCAAACTCCAGTCATTGTCCATTGGCGCACATCTGCGTAACAGTAAAACCCACTTGAGGGTGAGGAGCGTATTGATGCTCTGGAAGGAGACTGAGATGGTGTTCATTACAATGAAGAAGTCAATAACCATTTTGAAGGAGGAACAGAGAAATAACATCAGAATGCTGAAAAAGGTGAAGACTTGCACCTTTGGTTGGATTTTGGGATGAAGATCCGTGTCCTTCAAGTTTCCCAGAAAATGATGCTTAGTGGTTGGGTTGGTGTGATGTAGCTTCACCCCTTCCCTGAATTTTTCCTCTCCCTAATCACTTTACAGAGTGTTAGTGGTTTATCTGACTCCTTAAGTTACAGTGGGGGAGGTCTAGGTTGGATATTAGGAAAAACTATTTCACTAGGAGAGTGGTGACGCACTGAGATGGGTTCCTTAGAAAGGCGGGGGCAGGGGGAATCTCCAGCCATAGAGGTTTTTAAGTCTTAACTTGACCAAGCCCTGGCTGGGTTGATTTAGCTGGGATTGGTCCTGCTTTGGGCAGGGGACTGGACTTTATGACCTCCTGACATCTCTTCCAGCCCTATAATTCTATTTTCTATGATGCTTAACTTGGATGTGCACCGAAGCCATATTTTTGCCTTTCCCCTCTTCCTTTTCATGAAAACATGGCTAAAAAGGAGCCTTCCCTCACCATCTCAAAAACTTAACACAAAAACATCTCAGAGAACAAAGTACCCTTGACTCTTATCTGTGAAGCTAGTGGCTTTTACCCAGAAGACATCAGCATGTCCTGGTTGAAGGACAATTCCCCAGAACTCACGGCCAGTTACAACAATGGCCCCATGGCAGGAAGTGGTGCCTTCTTGGCCTACAACATCCTGAAAGTCAATCAAACCAAAAGAACAGAAGACTTCACCTGCACGGTGCATCACCCAGCCTTGGAGGAGCCCAAGAGAGTGGTGGAAAAGGTGTTCTTCCGTAAGTGGATTCTCAGAAGCAGGGGTTAATTTAGGGATGTCTCCATGCTTTATTGTCTCATCCAGTCAATGGCATGAGCAAGTGCTTGAGTCCAAAAGTGTCCTGGGTTGCGGGGGGAGGTGGCCTCACTGACGGATTTCTACATCCATTATGAAGCCATCTTTGGTGAAACCAAGGAATGCAAGATTCATTGAAACCTGAGTTATGTGGGGTTATCTGCTCCCTAAGGGCATTATCCAGTCAGAAATGTCCAAAGCAGTGGGGATCTCAACATATTCCTTGAGGAGATCTTACCACAGCCTCCAGCACCCTATCACCACTAAAGGAAGTGTGGGAAAACTGACTTCAATGCCAGAATGAATTTCAGGGAGGGAGCAACAGGCAATCTTCTTGGGCTATGATTTGGCCATGACCTAAGTGGACACGCTTGCTCTTGGAGAAATGTCACGGCAGAGCTTGGGTTGACTGAAACATTGCTTTCCCTCTGCGTCATAGTTCCTTTCTGGGAATGCTTCTCAATGACAGAAGGATTCCTGTAGAGGGAGACTCAGAATTTTGGCCTCATGGTCCATCTCATTCTCCCCATTGGAGTCTGGCACTTGGGCAGGTGCCTTCACGGATCTGCAGATGCTAGAGACGGTGAAACCTTAGGTGGTGAATTACAATTTATTCTAAAGGAGAAGCTGATCCGGGGTTGGATTGCATTCCGGAGGGATTGAGAAGCTGACGGATGCTGGGAAGCTAAGGAGAGAAACCCCTCAAATCCATCCTTTGCCCCGTCATGGGATCTGGGGGTCCATATGGATCTGGTATCTCATCTCCATCAGCTGCCACATGGCCAATGATCTGAATGAGTGACATCATGCTCATGCTTCATGCAATGTACACTAGAGGAGATTGTTCCTGGAGGCCAGGGTTGCAATTCTATGGGCGATTCTTTGGGTTTCCCTGCTGCAATTTCCAAAGGGATTCAAGGTCTCCCATCCCCCATTGGCTTGTAGTGAGAGTTGGGGGGCTCCTTCCCTAAGGGCCATTGGTGGTCAAGGGGAGTGAAATGTAAGTGGCCCTTTTGCCTGTGCAGAGAGTAGAGGCTTAGGGGAGATGAGTTCCCTTGTGAACTTTGGGTGTGGCATGGGGTGCAGTGTTAAAAGAAGGATGGTCGAGGTTCTGGGTGTGGGCATTTGCCCTCTGAGACCCACCTGCCCTTGCTGAGAAATGGGGAGCACTGCACTGAGTAGGGGATGTCTGTGGAGTCCATGAATTTCACTCTGGAAGGCCCCTGAGTGGAGCAAACAGGCCAGCTCCGTCCACTGCTGTGTTGTCCACAAGGGAGCATTCTGACAGTGGAGCCAGAGCTGTTGCAATGTGCTCATGAGTTGACAGAAAGCTAACGAACCACTATGGGACCCAGGAATCCAAGCTCCTAGACGGGTAGGACATCCTCAGTCAGTTTTTCTGATGCCCTAGAAGAAGAAGATCTGGGAGCTCCAAACCCTACTTCCCACCCCAGTGACCTTAGCCCCTTCCCCAAACAACCCCTGGGCCCCGAGAGAGGGTCCACACGAATCTGGTATCTCATCTTCATCAGCAGCCACATGGCCAACGATTTGAATGAGCAGCATCCAGCGTGTGCGTCATGCAACATTCACTAGAGAAGATTGTTCCTGCAGGCCAGGGTTGTGATTCTACTTGGGTTTCAGAAAGGATTCAAGCTCTTCCATCCCCCATTGGCTTGTAGTGACAGTTGGGGAGCTCATGCCCGAAGGGCCATTGGTGATCCAAAGGGGTGGACTGTACGCAACCCTTTTGCCTGTGCACTGAGTAGAGGCTTAGGGGAAATGAGTTCCCTCCAAAGCTCTTGGTATGGGATGGGGTCTAATGTTAAGAGGAGGACAGTCTAGGCTCTGGTGATGGGCATTGGCTCACTGAGTCCCACCTGCCCTCTCTGAGAAATGAGGAGCCACACACTGAGTCACGGATGTCTGTGGAGTTCACGAATTTCATTCCGGAAGGCCCCTGAGCAGAAGAAAGAGGGAAACTCTGTCCACTGCCGTGTGGTCCACAAGGGGGCATTCTGTCAATAAACCCGCAGCTGTTCCAATTGGCTCATGAGTTGGCAAAGAGCTAACGAACCACTATAGGGCCCAGGAGTCGCAGCCCCTAGGTGGGTAGGACATCCTCAGTCAGTTTTTCTGATGCCCTGAAAGAGGAAGGTTCTCTCCTTTCCATCTGGAAGCTAGAAACTCTACTTCCCACCTCGGTGACCTCAGCCCATTCCCCAAACATCCTCTGGGGTTTGAAGGCCTGAGAGAAAGGTCCTCAATTTCCACTGGGTATCTGGTGAGTATTCATTCTGCCCAGCCGCCAATGCTGCCTCCCGCCCCTAACCAGGTGGCAGCGACTGTCATCGACCCCCTCCGAAGGTCTTCCTCCTTCCCCCATCCCTGGAGGATCTCTACATAGCACAAAATGCCACCATCACTTGTGTGGTGAGCAGCATGGAGACCCCCAGCAGCCTGGAGATCTCCTGGAGCAGGACAAATGGAGACCCATTGATGATGGACTCCAGGGAGCTGGTGCAGCATCCAAATGACACCTACAGTGCAGTCAGCATCCTGAGGGTGTATGTGAAGGAATCGGAAGCAACGGAGAATTTCACCTGCACTGTGAAGCACCAAGAGATGCCATCGACAGAGGCCAAGACTATCTACAAAAGTCGTGGTAAGCCCTAGAGGGGGAACCAGGTCTAATCTGGTCCCACTGTGGGGGCACTGGGCTGACTCAGAGTGTGGTGAATTCTCCATGGGACTGTGTGACTCTAGGGGGTGCTAGCCCTGATCCAGGCACAGGTCAGTGGGGTGGGGAGTTAGAAATGTGTGGGTAGGATGAAATGGTTGCAGGACATAGGGGGTGTGTCTAGACTACCTAGTTTTAGTCCAAAAGTGGACTTTTGTCGACAAAACTATACCAGCGTCTACACTACCGCTGAGTTCTGTCGACATCACGTCGACAAAACTCAGCAGTTTTGTCAACGCTGGTATACCTCATTTTACGAGGCATAACACCTTCTGTCGACAGAACTCTGTCGACAGAAGGTGTTATTGCCTGTAACATTGCGTCCAGACTACGGAGTTCTGTCGACAAAGCAGCTTGCTTTGTCGACCGAACTCAATGTGTCTGGACGCTCTTTGTCGACGGAAGTTTTGTCGACAGTATCTGTCGTCAAAACTTCCGTCGACAAAATGCGGTAGTCTAGACGTACCCAGGAAGTCAGGACTCTTGGGTCCTTTTTCTAGATTTGCAAGGGGAGTGGGATGTAGTGGATTAAATCAGCAAGACTTGGAGACATGGCCCCTGATTCCAGCCTCTCTTCATGCAATTAATTTAGGTCTCGGGGGTTAGTAGGGACAGAGCCGTTGCATTATATTCACGGCTCTACAGGGCAGAGGTGGGGCACATGGGATAGAGGCAGACAGCATGCTTGGGTTCCTTACCCACCATTAACTCTTGTTTTCTTGTGGCAGAGGTCTCTTTCTGGGCCCCTTCTGTCTATGTCTCCCCTCCTCATGCACTGGCTCTCCAGGAATGAGCCACCATCACTTGCCTGGTCTTTAACTTCTGGACGAGAGACATCTTGGTCACATGGACCCGGAAGGACCGGCCCATTCCACAGGAAGCCTACACCAACATTAGCCCCATGCGAGAGGCTGGGAAGGAGGAAAGCTACTTCATCTACAGCAAGCTCATAATCCAGGTGTCTGAATGGCAGAAGGGGGACACCTATTTTTGCATGGTGGGGCATGAAAGCCTGCCCAAGAGCTTCACCCAACGGAGCGTTGACAAAACCTCTGGTAAACCCACCGCCATCAATGTCTTTGTGGTCTTGTCCAATAACGATGTCACTTGCCACTGAGGATCACAGCCCTATGGGCTACTGAGGGTGTATCGGAGATGGCTCTGGTGGCTTCATGGGGTCTCGCATTCCTTGTACAATGGGGGTAAAACCATGGGAGCTCTGGCGCATGGAGAATGGCTGTTTGTGGAATATGGCTGAATAAAAATGAAACATCCTGGATATTTGGATGAAGGGGTGTCACCCAGCATTGATTGACTCGGTGTCTCCTGTTTTATCCGCCCATCCTTCCCCCCACAATACGTAGGATCCAAACTTCAACCCTTTCTTCTTTGTAGCCATTCTCCTTATGCATTATTTCTCTCCGTTCATTCTTCAACAGTATCCATCCATCATCCGGAGACCCATCCTTTCATCCATCCATCTATTCTCAGACACATTCCCACATCTACCCACCTGCTCATACATCTCCACACACCCTCATCCATCTCTATACTTACCCATATCAGCCTCTCTACTTTTCTTTCTTTCTTTCTTTCTTTCTTTCTTTCTTTCTTTCTTTCTTTCTTTCTTTCTTTCTTTCTTTCTTTCTTTCTTTCCAAACTATGCAAGGTTGAGGGATGACACCCCAGATTTCTGGATTTGTCGCTAGGCCCCCTGTTTCCTACTCATGGGTAGGGGAGTACCCTATTGACCCCACCTGGAGGTACCCCCTACCAACATAGTACAGCTTTCCGATGGGTCTCAGGGGTCCTTTCAAGTCGGGGTGGGGGCTGAGAAGAAACAGAGCCTGAGTTGTACCTCTATTTATTTATTATTACTCAGTGCAAACAAGGAAAGTCTAAAACACATCACAGAGAAATCCCAGTGAGGAGCTCAATATACAACACAAAGCACAACAGACAGAGCCCTGGGGTGGCGGTGGGGAAAAGGGGCAAGGGGAAGCTCTCTTCTACAATGTGCTGGCTCTGAGCCAGGGAGAGAACAAGGGTCTGGCAGGGTTGGCCGGGAAGGGACCAGGACATGTGCACATTCTCCTCTAGGGGGCGCTGGTTCTGATCAAGGGAAAGTACAAGGGGTTGGCTGGGTTGGGCGAGCAGATTCTGAGACATGGACATTTTCTCCTCTGGGGGCACTGGCTCTGACCATGGAAGAGGTCAAGGGACTGGCGGGGTCGGGTGGGTAGGGACCAGGATGTGAGCACTTTCTTCTCTAGGGGATGCTGGTTCCCACCCCGTCGAAAAGCAGGGGACTGCTGGGTGCAAGATGGACGTGGGATGTGGGTTGGTTCCTTGCTCGGGGCACTAGCTCCCTGCATAACACAAGGTGACTGGTCACAGCCCAGCTCACGGCAGGGCAGGGTGCCCAGCAGCTGAAGGGGAGGAGGCCACAGGAGGTGAATCACTCCCACCCCACACTGGAGGGATCTACCAGGGCACCAAGCTGCAGAAGTCTCTGTGGGAGGCAGGATGGAGATGACAGAGAAAGGGAGCAGCGCCCCTACACCACGCGCTGGAACACGTTCGTGTACTGGGGGCCTCTCGCCTGCTTCATCTGCACCATGCTGGCAAAAAACCACTTCACCTGCAAAGAGGAAGGATAGAGAGGCCAGAGGTGAGAGGGGGTCAGGGCAGGGGGTAAGGGTCTGCTCTGTCTTTCTGTGAGTCATTCTGTCTGGTTTCTATGTCTGTGTCTCATTCATTCAGACTGTCGCATGCAACTATTCTTCTTTCTCCTTTGTCCCTCCGTTTTTTCCTTCCCTTCCGTGATGCACCCAACTGTGCTAACCTGGCTCCTCCCGTCGCTGCCACCTTCACCCTCTCTCACCTTGAACAGGGTCACCGTGGCACTGTAGCACACGCTCAAGAGGAAGAGGGTGATGAAGACCGAGATGGTGCTCCAGAGGCTGTTGAGCTCCTCGTCGTCGTCCTCGGTGCAAAACTCGCCAGACAGTATCATCTCTTTTGGGAGGAGAGAAAGACACGTCACCTCCGAGTCAGCCTCTGCAAGAGAGAAAGATCAGATGTTGCATCCAACAGCAATCTGTGTCTCCCTGTCTCCACCCATCGTTCCATCTCTCCGCTCATCTGTCTCTGGGAACATTCTTCTAACCCTGACCATAAACCACCCATCCATCCCCATGAGCCATCCATCCATCTGTCCCTACATATAACTCTCTGCCTCTTCCCTTCCTTCTCTAGACAGATCCATCTATCCTCACCTCTCCATCCATCCATCCATCCCCACAAACCATCCATCCATCCATTGAAAGACATAACACCTTTCTGCCTCCTTCTTTCCCTCTCTAGACACATCCATCCATCCCTACAAACCATCCCTTCATCTATCCATCCCCATTTAGCCCTCCATATTTCGATGACCACAACCCATCCAGCCATGTATCCATCTACGCCTGTGCACCTAAACTTCTTTAGATACATGCCTCCATCTATGACCACAAAACACCCACCGATCCATTCATATGTGAATCCCAAGACACCTTCCTCCATCCATGCCTGCACCCATGAATTTCTAATCCACCCATCCATCTTTGATCAGAAAATATCCATCCACTGCACAAATCATCCATCCATCTTGAAATAAATCCCTCCCACAATCCTTCATCCATTCATCCATGAAAACAAGCCAGCTATCCATCCATAAATCCATCCTTACTTACCTCCATCTTTCCAGCTATACCTCTCTACACTTCCATCTATAGATACATCTACCCATGTATGATGACAAATCATCCATCAACCCATCAATACATTCCTAGATCCATCCATCCATCCTCCCATCCATCATCACTCACCACCCATTCATCCGTGACCATCAACTATCTATGCATTTACCAATCCCTTCCCAGATACCCTCATCCTTCCATCTACCTCTTTAGATACTTCCATACAGCATGATCACGAATAACCCTCCGATGTAGCAGTATATCCCTAGACACCTCCACCATCCCTCTAACCATCCTAAATGAACCCATACATGCATTCACATCCTGATCTCTGGGTACATCCATCCAACTCTGACCACGAAGAATCCATCCATCCCTAGACACTGTCTCTCTCTGCCACCCTCCTTCCATCTCTAGACATATCCATCCACTCCTGCTGGTGCTTTTCTTTATCCGTGACAAAGGAAAATCCATCCCTGCTTCTCTACATCTATCCCACCACCCATCTCTCTGTCCATGCACCCATGACCAGAATCTGTGCACATTTCCATACAAAATTAAACCTCCATTCATTGATAACAATAAGCCATCCATCTACGAAACCATCCATCCATCTCTACATCCATAATCCCAACCATCCATTTATACATGCAACAATCTGCTCCTTGACGTCTCCATCCACCTATTTAGCCATCTCTAGATACAAACATCTGTTCATGACCAGCAACCCTACATGCAAAGTATCTATCTATCTGTCTATCTATCTATCTATCTATCTATCTATCTATCTATCTATCTATCTATCTATCTATCTATCTATCTATCTATCTATCTATCTATCTATCTATCTATCTCCTCTCACCCCTTCCAATTATCCCTGTCCCACAAACCATATACTGATCCATCAATCCATCTTTGGATGCTTCCATCTATCTATTTATGATGTCCTACCCTTGTATCTCCAGATACATTTATCCATCCATGGTAGCAATCCATCCAACAATCCATCCCTAGATACATCCATCAGTCCATCCAAACCTTCATTCATCCTCCATCCTTCTGCCCATCCATCCATCCGTGCCTCCATTGCTCCTCTCCATCCACCTCCATCCATCCAATCATCCAGAGAAGCACGTCTCCATCCATCTCTCTCTAGCTACACCCATCCATTCATTTATCCATCAATGCCTCTATCTGTCCATCTTTAGACACATCCATCCCTGCCACCCACACAAACTTTCTTTCCCTCCATTCATCCACCACAGCCCATGGAGACGAAATGGACACAGAACCTCACTCATCCCATGTGGCCACAGCCATGTAACCAGACAGTGAAAATTGGCAGGTGTTAATTTCAATGTGCCTTAGTTTTTCTGTCTGCAAAATCTGGCTTAAGATCCCCGAGGAGTTAAATCCATAGGAGTGAGTGAGGTACCGGGATGTTGCCATGGTCAGGAAGGCCCCCAAAGACCATAATGGTTTCTTGCAGGTGCCTCCACAACCCTCATCCCAATGCACCTAAAGACCTGGGACACACTTCATTCATCTCTGGAGCTGATCATACAGGGTCAGCATCACCAAGAGCAACCTGTAGTTGCCCCAGGAGTGGGATGTCAGAATGTTGAACACGGTTGCTATTCTGAAGAAAGCCACTTGTGTTCTCTAGCTGGGAATGATGTTTTCTAGTGCCCCCGTCCCCAAACTAGAAAGCCCCCTTCCCTAGAGGTGTTTGAAGAACAGGTGCATGGATAGGTGGGGGTGCATGTTTGTGTCTCCCTGTGTTGGCTGTCTATCTGTGTGTACAACCAGGAGAGCCCAGGTGAATAGAATCCTGTGTCATGCCACATGACCTGTGTGCCCATCTGTACCAGAGTAGCTCTCTCTCTCTGTGTCTTTCTCTCTGGGTATGTCTAGACTACAGGCTTACATCGACATAAGTTTTGTTGACAGAATCTATTGACAAAACTTATGTCGACATAGAGCGTCTAGACTACAGCCAGTTCTGTCGACAAACAAGCCGCTTTGTCGACATAACAGTGTGGACACAAAGGACAGTGTAGATGCAATAATGGCTTCTATTGACAGAACTCTGTCAACAAAATGCGTCATTCCTCGTAGAATGAGGTTTACATACGTCGACAAAACTGCTGAGTTTTGTCGACGTTATGTCGACATAACTCAAAGGCAGTGTGGACGCAAGTATAGTTTTGTCGACAAAAGTCCACTTTTGTCGACAAAACCCTGTAGTCTAGACACACCCTCTGTCTCCCGCTCACCCATTCCCCTACTCTCCTACATTGCGTGGAACTCCACCTGCATCTCCTGTTTTCACCCTGAAGTTGGTTATCTTTCAACCCCAGGTGCCAGCTCTGTG